GCGCAAGCCGTAAGAAAGTGTGAGTGTGCCACCTCTCGTTTAGTCCTTAGAATTTCCGCCGCATGGCGGTGCTTCTATATGGGGAATACATAATGAGAAGATGCGAGATGGTGGTACTTGGAGTGTTGAATAGATGGTCGAACGGACACGCAGACAGATGCATCGATGGACGCATGAAAAACGCAGGGGTGGATGGATGGACGAACGCAGGGACGGACGCACGAACAGACGCACGCACGGATGGGTGGATGGACGCATGGACGGTCACACAGACGCGCGCATGGACGGCCGGAAGCAAGAACGAATGGACGGGCAAGTGCTTCACCCCACTCTCCATCTTTCACTCCGTAGATATGCTGCCAATTTTTTCTGACGCAGGGAAGCCAGACGTGCTGAAACGCATACGCTTCAAAGCAACGCAGTGAGGCGCGCGCCTGCGAATATATGGCAGGACCAGCGCCTGACGTGACAACGCCGGCGTGAAGCGATGAAATGAATGCCGGAGAGCATCCGCACCGCGTCACGTCGAACTGTATTGGCACCTCTACTGTGGCATGTAGTCATGTTCTCACTTGACGCGCATCTCATTATTATCATGTTTGCACCAGTCACATACTTTCGTCATCCATGGACGTATGTGGCATATCTGAAGCTAGAAAATTTGGCATATGTGAAGCTAGCAAAACGTCCGCGAGCGCATCATAAGTGTGGCACGTAGCTATGCGGTAGCATGACACGCATGTCCTGATTAACGTGTTTGGACGCGTCATTTACATATGTCGTCCATTCTCGTTGCGTAATACCGTGTTTGGTACATGTCAAGCTCGCGAAACAGCCACGAGCACATCATGAGCGTAACGTTTAGTCATGTTGTTACGTGACACGCATGTGATGTTTATCATTTTGCACAAATGTCATACCTTCACCATACATTCACGTACCGTAATACTGAATTTCGAATAAGTGAAGCTAGCGAGAGAGCCGCGAGCGCATCTGAACGTAGCATGTAGTGTGTTGTTACATTACAGGCATTTCATGTTTACCATGTTTGCACCAATCTCATACCTTCGTCATTCATTCACGTACCGTAATACAAAATTCGGTATAATGGAAGCTAACGAAACAGCCACCGGCGCATCCTCAGTGTGGCATGTAGTCATGTTGGTACATGACACGCATTCATGATTATCATGTTTGCACCAGTCACATACCTTCGGGATCCATTCACGTACCGTGATACCAAATTTGGTATATGTGATGCTAGCGAAACGGCCGCGAGCGCATCATGAGCGTAACATGTAGTCGTGTTGTTACATGATACCCAAGTCATTATTTTCATGTTAGGGTCTGTCGCTTGTGTTGACCATGCGATCATGTCATACCATACCAGTTTTGCAACATGCCATATGAATGAAGCCACCGCAAGGGCTGCCGGATCATGAAATGTGAATCATGACATTCATGACACACATATCATGATTTTTATGTTATGTCTAGGCAAATATGTTCGTCAGTTTGGTGTCGATGCCATGTTTAAGTTTGGTGTCGATACCAATATCGAAACGGCCAGGAGAGCTAAAAGTCGTAGGCGGCTAGATAGATAGATAGATAGATAGATAGATAGATAGATAGATAGATAGATAGATAGATAGATAGATAGATAGATAGATAGATAGATAGATAGATACGCTCAAAACTGCCGAAGTTCGCTCATAAAGGCTTCGCATTTAAAAACGGGTAAAATATTGAGCGCGACGTGAAAAACGCATGTGTGGCTTTTAGAGTGCTTATTAAAGAAACTCCGTGTGGGAACACGTCAGCGCCATTGCTCAGTCAACCTTTCAACAGCACAACAACGTCAGCGTGATTGTCACTCCTTATCGTGCCTCCAACAGGCGCGTTCGTGGGCGTTTGTTCTCTTCCGTATAGGTTACATCCTTTCACCAGCAGCATGGAAATTTCCACTCTCGATTCAACAAGACCACAAGGGTGCATACGCAGCACTCTCGTGCAGCTCGTCTTGCTTCTATCAAATATGGCAGATAAATATACCGACAGGATATAATTATCTGCCAGTGAATCTGCTTAATCTGCTTCAAAGTTACGAACGCATATTCACGGACCCAATACAGATGGCACTAATTAAAAAGGCCTAATGAACGTAATAGTGAACACATTCATCTTCATTAGTGTGGTTTAAATTCAAGCGGCAATATTTAGCAAGGCCTAAATAAATCATCAATACCATTCTACACAACATAACACTAAGAAGCACGATCCTATTTAAAACGCCATCATATTTGTAGGCAAGATGTGGTTAAGATAGCTTTACTTAGTGTGCTCATAATTATCGCCCTGTTAAACAGCATGGTGTGATTGGTCTAAGATTTATGTTTCTTCATTAACACTGTTTAACATAATTTGACCTAATTACCTCGCTCTATGCCTGACATGGGTTGATTACCCTTGGTTATGCCATGTTCTGTCCTAAGAGAGAAAGTATACCACCCAACCAGTTGGCTAGGTACTTAGCTGGTCACACGTGCTGGACGAGCCATTACCAGACGATAAAGACGATGAAGAAGTCGTGCGCCAGCCAACCTGCTGTGTATACAGGCAGATCATGCTGAATATAGCCGTGGCCTCGGGTTTATCTACGGTAGCTAAGTTGTTCGGCTCCCCACTGCAACTATTCTAAGAGGTCACCTTGTTGATTATTCTGAGGAATAATAAATGGAGGTAATAAATCTTGCTTTTTATTTTACTTTTTAGAGTGCATTTGTCAATTTTTTGTATATTTTTTACTGCTCTTTGTAATCAACCCTGCAAGGTGACCTTTATTTTTGAAGGATAGTTTGTCTGTAACGGCCCTCTTGAGCGCTAACAGTTTTAATGAATGAATAAAAGATTAAATGAATGTTGAATGAAAAATAAAAGCTTGAAAATAAACTTTTACAGCTGATGTTTCTAAAATTATGATCCGTCATAGTGCATAGGTGCACTTCAACTCACACTGCAACGAGAAATGCGAGAAGTTTTCTCCTATTTCCAAACACCGCCCAACTTTATCGATGGTCCTTAACGTAATGTCGTGTTGTATCGTAACCAATGGAACGCAGCACGCGCTGAGGGGTGGACTTGACTTTTTTCTGCAGTTGGCTCGCTCAAAACGGTGGTGCCGCAGTTCGGAAACATTCTGAGTTTTATCAAATTCAGGTCATCCTGAATGGCGCTTCATTTCTTGATTTTCGTCTTGCGTTGAAGCGGCTGCAGGCCTGGCAAAACCAAGTTGGTGGTGAGTGGCTTTAAGGGCCACTTAGCACCCTGCTTTCAAAGATGAGGTAGTTGTTTTTAAAGACGATAGTCTTTCCTGGGGACCTTCGACGATAAATTTTTAAATTTTTGGTCTGTCTGTCTGTCTGTCTGTTCATCTGTCTGCTTGACCGCGATAACGATCTCCCTTAAGCACTAAACGGTACCTCAAACGGCCCACCCCTTCCGCAGTGCCCACCTATATTGCTCAAGGTTCAGCGTTCATACTTGTGTGATTGTCAATTGAAAAGCATTAATTGCGCATATCTGAAGCACCATTACAACACGTCGACGTTTTGTATGTGAGCCTTTATACTAGAGATGGAACACACAAGTAATTCTAAGGACCATAGCGTTTATCTTTCTCCGCGGGCGCTCACGCCTTCCTTTGTTTTCGAGGAAAACTGCCAAAGGGCGCTCGTGCCTAACGTGCCTCGATGCGCTCGTTCGCCTTCTCTGTACCGATCAACACCCTCCAACGCAGCGCTTCCAAAATACAATTTACCAATTTTCTCACACAAAACACAAAATAAACGTTTTGTTCACTCTCTCAACACGCAAGACAACCATCTTTCGACGACTTTTGCAGTGAAACAACCAGATACGGGCTTTTTTTTCCTCGTTTACGCGCACACTTCGCGTAGTCGATATAGTATCTTCACCATATATTGGTACAAAGCCCGTCAACAATGTTAGCACTTGGTGCTAGAGCCTATCAGGTTTTCGTCCTTCTCGGCTACACACTGCTATCAACGCCTGCGCAGTCGGAAAGACACAAAATGCAGTTTGATAAGGTGATCACGCGTGATACTGATTCGAGAACAAGAAGGATAGATGGGTGGTTTCATGGAAAAGCAGAATTCACATAGTGTATTTCGCGTATAAATACCAATCGTCCACTGTATACATAACGGGAATAAGTGTCTGCGTCAGAAAGTGTAAAATGATGTGTAAAGTGTAAACGTGTAAAACGGCGAAAATGATAGCAGAGGATATTACTACTATTTCTTTTATTTTCAGAGGCTAGTGAGGGGCCTTTTAAACCAAACCGCATACTTCCCGCCATTACCTTGCCGCGGTGGTCCAGTGGCTAATGTACTCGGCTGCTGACCCGCATGTCGCGAGATCGAATCGCAGTTACGGCGGCTGCATTTCCGATGGAGGCGGAAATGTTGTAGGCCCGTGTGCTAAGATTTGGTTGCACGTTGAAGAACCCCAGGTGGCCGAAAATTCCGGAGCCCTTCACTACGGCGTCTCTCATAATAACATGGTGGTTTTGGGGCATTAAATCCTACATATCAATCAATCATTACTTCTCACCATTTCCTTGCTAACTAGAGCACCATGCGCTGCAGCTGCCATCGCTAATGTCGTCAGAGTTCCCTCTATTGTATTTACGATAACTGTGCGCAGAATGAGGGCAGGCTAGAAGTGGAGCAGCGTGCACGCGTATCTTTCTTGTGTGCCTCTTTCTATAAAAGTAATCAAACTTTGGATTACCCACAGCAGGCAACGCAGCTCTCTCTGAACAGTAGATGGTGTCATATGCATTCAATAAACAGAAGTACATGAGAGCTTGTAATTTCTACTGAGGACGTTCGCGTTTCTTCGGCGATTTCCTGAATTTCCATAACATCCAGTAAGAGAGCTATAACAAATAATCTAATATGGTTTTCCTTATTTTCCAGTTTTATAGCGAAGGTTCTATCATATGGACATTAAGTACGACTTTACTTACAACTATACAGTGTAAAGTGGACTTCGTAAACAAGACAACTTCTGATCATGCCGAGTTTCGGAGGGCCTATAACATGAGTAACTTGACGTAAGTTTGAACAATACCTTTTTTGTGAATTATGTGGTAATCGATAAACAATTCTCACGCAGGTACTACGATGATCTTTACGGAGAATTTACAATCATTGGCAGAACAAACAAAACTCCGCCGTTTAACGCAATGATTGTGCGTATGAACAAAGGTAATGTAGTTATGGGTATAATAGAAACAATATTATTCAAAAATAATTCTGTCTGATAATGACTTACAGTTCGACAATTTATTTGCTTACACACTTTTTTTTCAACTGATACTTTTTGTGAAAGTGTTTGTATGGCTACTAGCTTAAGCAGCGGGAACTAGGGCTTACTGGTACGCTTGTCGTCACTTAAAGCTGTTACAGGCAACGCAAATACATGTAAATATTTAACAGGCACATCTATAAAGGATTATTCAATGCTTTGGCCAATGGCTGCATTTTTGGTGGAGGCGACATTGCTGAGGTCCATGTGCTCATATTTGGGTGCACGTTAAAGGACTCCCGGTCGCCTAAATATCCAGAGCCCTTTACGGCGTCTCTCATAATAATATGGTGGCTTTGGGACGTCAAACCCCACATATAAAGCAATACTTTGGCCAGGGAGTTGCGGGATTCAGCGATTTCAGACATCTGTATTAACGATGATATATCCATGAGTTTCAACTTCATGAACGAATTACAATGCTGTGTCAAGGCACCCTTGATCAACCGCAGTTTAGGGTGTTTTTGTAGAGGTACATTCTTCGATCGACGTAGAGACACTAGTCATGGCGGCAATAGACTGGACACTATACTTTGGTCATGTATATGGCTTTCCTAGTGATTAATATGGGCAGGTCTGTGAAGACTACAGTCGTAAAAAGTAATGTAGCAAGGAAGAATCAAAATGAAATGACAGTTGCTGCATTCAGCCATGAATTCAAGTGCAACTGCATAATGAACTTGTAAACAACTGCAATAAGCGCGTCGATTTTACGGAATTGCTAAAAGAAATCGTCTTACTATATGCAATCCTACCTGGCACAACTCCCCTAGCGTGCCCGTGATGCAAGGTATCAAGCTGCAATTATTCAAAGCTGCTGGCACGATCACAGGTCCATAGAGTCCCCACTGTCGAAACACTTCTCCCTGCTGAGCGGTGACGCCAGGGTGAGGCGGCCTCTGAAGTTGCACTTGCGATGGAGGTATATGCCTGGGGTCTCTGTGCTGAGATTTCGGTACGCGTTAAAGTAACCCAGGTGGTCGAACTTAGCGAACCTTCCACACCTACTAATAATATTTCTTGGAATTTTACGTCCCAAAAGCACCATATGACTGTGAGAGACGCCTTAGTGAAGCACTCCGGAATTTTTCGACCACCTGAGGTTTTGTAACATGCACCGAAGTCCAAACTGAGCCCGATCCTACGGCATCTGTCTTAATCATATGGTTGTTCTTCAATGTTAAAGCCCAATAAATATTATGCAAATATGACCTCGCTTGAGACAGCGATACCAAAAGCTGCATTTTGAGTTATTTTAATTATTGAAATTCAATATGCACAGTCAGCAGAGCAATTCAGGCTTGCTTAGCACAGCATTAACCATAATTATCGATTACGTTACAGTAAAGTACAGCGGCTATGTACTACGCAAAACGTAAGCAAAAAAGCTCCTCAAAAGGCTACAACGCACATATAGACGGGGACGATGGGAGAATAACCATGGGAGTGAGTCTTTATTCTCTGATATAGCACCCTGATATAAATTGAACAAGCCAAAAAAATCACTCCTATGCCAAGCACCAACAAAATACAAATAAAAAACATGATGAGCTTTGGTATTTAATTTTTGCATGCTTAACATACAAATTTTGTGTCTCCGTTTTTGAGAGGGTCACAGAGGAGCGTTCATGCAATTTTCTTTGTGACAATATATTTATTGCGCTACTATGACGTCACGCTTCAGCCTGGCCTATTTTTTCTGCTGAAAATTCAGCGCTGCCCAGAAAGTGATTCATAGGCACAACTCCCCCAGCACACTGGCAAATGGCCGGCTGCACTGCAAAAGCTTCGCCGGAAAACCGTTTTTCTTTTTGTCGACAGTGCTGAATTATCAAGGAAAAAGGAGATATGCTGGCATGCAAAGTCATAGAAGCGTACGAAATACGTTGTCACAAAAAATTTGTGTCACCACTCCTTCTGTGACCCTCTCAAAAAATGAAATATAGGTTTTCTATAAGTTGAGTCTGCAAACAAATTGTGATGAGTGCTGTTTTTTAGACCTTAGTTAAGAGTGCTTTCATTCGCTTCTTTGCTCTATATAGGGTTGTTCCGTCAGAAAATATCAGTTAAGTAGTACTTCAGCTCTACTCTTACTTTATTCTCGTGTATATATGAGTTTCAGCCTGTCATAATACATTACTAACTAGTCCACCAAGTCATGCTTGTAAACAAGGACATGTCCATGCGGGTGGTTAAAGTGTTCAGGGTGGAGTACAGATGTGTCATGCTTTCAACATAGGTATGCTTAACCACTTCGAGAGTCGGCGCAATTGCCACAATACAGCTGAAATCTGCTAATATGTATTTTGGCAAAACGTGCCACACAGACGTTCTCATCCTAGACAGTACAAAGCAAATTAGTCATTTTCTGCTAGCTTGTCGCGAACAAGACAAAGCTTTAACGTGTGTTTATAACCAAGAAAATAAAATGGTGTCTACTGGAATTGTCATATGGAAAAAAAGAGAGGTTTTACTCTCGATTTACAACTGTTGTGTGGAATCCACCTCCTGGTTTCGATCTCATCCGACACACAAAGTCTTGCTCTGTTGGAGTGGTGATGGCTGCCCAGACGGGTCACGGCAACAAGTTTTTTGCTGCAAAGCACAGATATTATCAAGAATTTCTGCCTTTTCTGCCTACCATACGTATCGTAACCAACACGGTTACATGCCATTCCAAGGGCCATGCATGCCATTCCGAGGGCCAGGCCTTTTCGCATCGAAGATTACAAGGACACGTTGGCAAAATTTGATGCGCTCCATGACGTGGTTGTGTCAGCAGCGTATCAGTATACGTCATGACAAGCGGTACTGCCACTGATTACAGCAAAATGGTGAAGATACGAAAAGTGTAGCTTTCTCTCCGAAAATTCTGTTTGTAGGTAGACACGGCTACGGCATTATTCGACTGGTATGGCTTTTTGAAGCTCGTGGCTTGTTTGTGTATGTGGGGTCAAGTTGACTGGTGCGCCTGTAATATATTTTCCAGGTTCTTTATGTCTCATCATGTGCTATTGTTTATATTTAAGCTTTGTTATAGTTGTCATGGACAATTACCATTGATGCTGCAGTACCACTGTGAGCATATCTCATGTGTATTTTCTCACGAGTTTGTTTTATGTGTCGCTGCCTCTCCATGCCATGTCTTGACAGAACTTGTCCAGCTCCTTCAGTGCAGTTGATATCCGCGCAGTTGTTCATGTTTTTAATAGATTTTTTAGCTATACAAATAATTCAGGTACTTTTATATTGCTTCATTGGTCACTCCACTCTCTGGAATGGTCAAATTCTTCCACTCATAATTCAGGCTTCTTCTGCGCTATCAACGCAATTGTCTGCGCAAACTCAGAGCGCCGCGTAACCGGCCGCTGTCTTCTGGCGTCTCAGAGATTCCGAAACTTGATTCGGCAGTCATCACCAGGAAGATCATTTCAATCAAGATTATTTCGCGTTGCTCTGGTTGAATTTGTGTGTCGCCAGTCTATATGAAAAACTGGTATTTTGCTTCACAGTTGCTCACGTATTATTTCGTACCACTGAACTTCCATAAGAAGAAAAGGAGAAAAACATGAGGGCTGTCTTTTTTGATGGACACAACAATATTGAGAACCGGGATAATAATAAACACAAGATATAGAACACTTGGAAGGAATTATACGAGTTATGTTATGTGGCGTCATGTTTTTGGTAGGTCAATATGCCGAAAATGTACTTCAACAGTTGAAAAAGGTTTCGTTCATAAAAAAAAGCTATTATCAGCAACAATGAACACACATCTGCACAATATCTTGTCTCCAATGTCTAGCTTCATTGACCATGTACAGTACGATTCTGCATATGCGCTTGTGGACTTGCCTCATCGGCAATAGCCTGCATGGCGGTAAATCACAGAGATCTCGGCGTAAATACATACCTGGAGGTGGGTACCAGTAATGTGGCAGACCACCAAACACAAGCTGCTTGAACGCGGACAGGTGTCGCCTGCGTTGTTCGCACCGTGGCGGTGACATATCTATGCAAATGTCAAGCGCGGGATGGGCTGGGAACAAGAGGGCCTATTTAATGTACTATAAATAATAATAATAATAATAATAATAATAATAATAATAATAATAATAATAATAATAATAATAATAATGCTTATTTTTTATCAATAGTTAGATGACGGATAGCAGCAGGTAAAAAATGCTCTCCAAAAGAGGCAGCTTGACAAAGCCCGCAGCCACTTTTTAGCACGACAGCAGTAGCAAGCAGTCAGCAATACAAACTAAAAAACAAAGCAACAAACCAAACAAAGTTTAAATTCTAAAAAACCATTACTAATACCAATATAGCAACTGCAAAGAAGTAATAAAAACTAAACGTGTGTATATCGCGCAATTGAGTCTGTGTTCAGTAAGAAATCTATTTCCGTCATTAAAGTAAAGTGTACATACGAAAGGTTGTGCAAGCTCCATCAGAGCACTATATTCTTCTAGCGCAGCAAAATAGGTTTCTAGATAATGTAATACTTCTTTGCATCTGCTCTGCACACAGTTAGAGTGAACACTAAAGAAACAGGGTTTACGTAAGCAGATTAGTAAATGTGTGTCGATGCTACATTTTTGAACTGCAAATCAAAATACTAAATGGAAGCCATTGGCTTTGCAAATAAATGTTTTTTTAATTATTCTACACCTGAGGCGCCACCATCATAATCGACGGAGAGTTGGAAGGGACAGGGGTTAATGCCCTCTTCCGCCACCTTGCCCGGTAAAAGTACCAAACTTTAAATAAAGTCTAATCATTCATTCATTATATTCTATTATACGAAGACTAAACTACTGACGCTTGTATAAAAAAGAACATGTTTTGGTCATACGAGCTATAAAACTTATTTTGTTGCTACACCAACACTTGTACAGGAAATGTATGCATCATGCAACTTATAAATTTTACGTAACAAAATCCTCTGTCGATGAATAAATGGTGGCCGAAGACTAGTGAACCTATGTTCTTTTCTTTTTCTTCATTGCCAATTGTTCGTAACTGCTGCAACTAAACTAATTTATTCCTGCGCAAGACAAATGTTCAGCTGTGTGCTGGTGTGTTCTTGCGCTGTGCTGAGTGCTACAAAGCTTATCTGGTGTGGTGATTAATAAAGGAGCGGCCGAATAAAAAACCTCGATTCAATTCGTGAATCTTGTTGGTTGCGGCCGTTTTCAGAGTGATCAGTGACTCTGATCACGCTGATTTTAAAGTAGAAGGTTGATAAATGACAAAGCAAGCAGTGAAATGACAACCTTGGGTCTCTTTAGCATTGTGTATGTGTAACATAAATGTGGAGGAAAGTACGCTTTACGAACCCATATTTAGACCTAGCAAGGCTCTATTGTAAGGGCATGCCAATAACACCTAACACTTACACAAGTCGGAGAGTAGAAGGGGTTATTTGTCCAATTCGTAGTACGACCATGGCATTAAAAAGCGTTATTATGCCTATCGACTTTTTATCATTTGCGGACTCACTTATTCCAACATTCCTTGAATCATTCTTACAAATTCTCAAAGAGCTATTCTGTTTCTTTTACACTGAAAGGCCTGGTCATTCCAACGGGAAGGTGAGCGAGTTAATTGTTAGAAATAGCCGCGTTGCGAGCTTTTTCCAAGGTAGCGTTAAGTACTTTTGTTGCATGGCTAAATTGTTATGTGTTTTCTGCGCTGCCCAATCCCTGTCTTAACGACGGGTGGCCCCGCCGCGCTGGTCTAGTGGCTAAGGCACTCGGCTGCTGTCCCGCAGGTCGCGGGATCGAATCTCGGCTGCGGCGGCTGCATTTCCGATGGAGGCGGAAATGTTGTAGGCCCGTGTGCTCAGATTTGGGTTTACTTTAAAGAACCCCAGGTGGTCGAAATTGCCGGAGCCCTCCACTGTGGCCTCTCTCATAAACATAAGGTTATTTTGGGACGTTAAACCCCACACATCAATCAATTATTGACAGGTGCCCCATTCTTTAAATCATTGCGAAGTACTAGTGGCAGTGTTGGTTGCCGTATGGTGGCGATGAGTATAAGGCTAGCAAGTCCTTTTCAAGCGATAGCTGTCAGCCGTTGCACTCATAACACGTTACGATTTAATGTGCGCGACAAGAGGGGCCTGTGGGCGAGGGTAGTCATACGAGTGAAGATTGTTGAGTAGCGTTGATTGCAGTGTTCCAGCTTTGCACTTTACAGTAAAATATTAATGTACATGGCGCCAACATTATAATTGTTTACAGCACCAAAATATTCATTTTGATCGCAGAGTGTTGCACAATCACTTGCACATGGTTTCTGTAAAGTTTTTCTCTAAACCGATATTGAAGTTCGTATGCAGTACGTTGATCTAAGTCCGAACTGGTTAAAATTCCTCTTTATTATTTTTCTATAAAATCATTAGCCAGAGCTCTTTCTGTTGATAAATAGATAATTCTAATTTTTCTTGACTCTTAGGAGGCCCGGAAAAATCTACCGAAGAGCTACTACGGGAGTATGGAAATTATGCCTGCGGCATCTTTTCTGTAGTGTTACCGACAATATTTGGTAAACAAAATTAACCTAAAATTACAAATTTAGGTCAAATATTTCGCTTTTAAGGGTGCCTACTACACAGAGTTTAAAACTGACTAAGGAAAAAAGGCCACTTGGCAAAAGTGCCAACATAAAGTTGTAGAAAAGAGTCATGCATTTAGTTATCAATGACATATCGGGAATTCTAACAAAATGAGTATACTGCGAAACTTTGCACGTGAGGTGCGACTAATTCTTATTCGTATAAAGTTCCACATCAGGCGTTAAACTGTTTGTTTGGAGAAGTATGTTTCATGACGTTTTTCAGCAAAACTGTCAAGGCACTGAAACCGCGGGCACAATGAAAAGGCACACAAACACGTGCTTGTTCGCATATTTTCTTCATCCCCGGAGTTCTTGGCGTGTTACCAGTTTTTTTCTCAATTATTGTATCAACTAGCTGAGCAACAAGCCCCAATGATGCTATTGCAGTGTTTTGCCTGTGGTATATAGAAGTCTTACTGTCACTATATGTATATGTTATTGTCCTCCTATCATTTCATGCACGCATCTATGTATAGGCTGTTTCACATTTACAGTAAATATAAAAGCGCGAGGTACGTGATGAGGTCAGTGCTGTAACCACGCGCCGTCAGCAGCTATCGCGCGCGCAGACGAATCAGGGGTGTATTTTGGAACCGCGTCGTCTGCTATGGCTGTTCCTGCTTGTCACATCACTAGCCAGTGCAGCGACAAGACTGTCAATGCAGAAACTGGGCCGATAATTTGCGCTAAATGTTGTGCGACGCCAACCTCTTTGCATTTATTCGTGATAACGGGGCGATACAAGCAGAATTTGACAGCGTATACCTTGTTTGCTCCTTCGAAACGCCGTGGTGCTGTGGGCGCTCATGGACATTTCTTCACTGTGTGCACCGCAGTACACTTGGACTAGGGAGACACGACAAGTACCACGAAATGTGCGCTGTCTTAATTTGACTTTTAACAAAAAAAGAACCCAATAGTAAAAGTCGCACTGCTGGGCCGGCATAACATGATAAAATTAGTGGGAACAAATTCAGGGATGTTTAGGTGAGCACAAAGCCTCAACTTGTCTCTTTATGACGCCATTTTATTACCACAACACTCGCTATCCGGCTCCGAAATTTTTTGCAACAGAGTTCAATATTTTTCAGTCGATCTTTTTTTTGTTCGTATACGGAAAATGGTAAACCAAGCAAACAACACAGTACTGCTTCTTTCAGACAAGAAACAAAACTAGAAAAATGTTTTTCTAGTTTTGTTTTATTCTGTTTTATCTGGATCTTGTGATGCTCCGCCCCCAGCATTACCAAACGGGACACACTCGTCTGCTGACCAGCAGGTCACGGTATCGAACACCGGTGGGGGCAGTTGCATTTTAGATAGAAGCGCAAATGCTGTAAGCCCGCGTGCTCAGATTTTGGTGCACGTTAAAGAACCCCAGGTGGTCTAAAGTTTTGAACCCCTTCACTATGACGTCTCTCATAATTATATGGTGGTTTTGCGACCTTGCACCTCACATATCAATCAATCAATCAACGAACAGGACATGCTGTGGCCAAACACATTGCTGATACCATGCGCTCAGTGCAGTCTAAATTAAGCGCCATCGTCGCTACCGCTGGAGACATGAACTTAGAAGCGTCACGAGTGCATTTTGGTGCCGGGAGCGAGTTCTTTCTGTTGTTATGAAATATCGTCAAGAATAAGCACGTTCAAGTTGTTGTTCTACCCTAAATCTTTTCATATATATAACCATTTTGTTTAGGTAAAGTTGCTCAGCTGCTCAGCAATCACAACTGAGTGCTCTGTTTTATTTACAGTCGCATTTAGACCACGCACGGTGCGTGCTCAATATCGTGCCTTCCTCATCGAAGCTTACTGCGGCGCGCACACAGTGAAAAAAAATTCATGAAAACACACATTGCCAAGACGTTTGGACAGAGCAAAGAAGGTGTGCTGCCAAATACCACCCCATTATCATGAATAAAGGCTGAGAGGTTGGCAGTGCACAACGTTTCGTGCAGACAAGTGTTGAAAGTTGGGCAAACTTGTACAGTAACATCTGAAAAAACTGCTCAGCAAGACGGGACATGAAAAATTAAAGCACGGGCGAGTTTGTCGTGCCGTGTTTCTTCGTATCCTATCTTGTGACACAGACTTTTATAAAACGATCACGATTATAAAACGGCCCTGTTCCCGCATTAACAATGGTAGCCACGCGCTGGCCGACAATACGGCACGCGCATTGCAGTAGCAGGCGACGCGGTTACACTCCATGTCCTTGAAGCATCTGCGCACGCGTGAGCTGTCACCAGCGCGCAATAGCAGCGCTTTTCGCATCTCTATGCATGGCCAATGTCACGTAGATGATTATCAGGCCTGCTCGCTGCCGCTTTGACGTCACTCGTTTTGCCCGAGCGAGCACGCGTACGGGAGTCTGTGAATCCATTGCCACAGTCATCTTCCTTTAAAGGATAAAGCGTTCGGGGCAAGTTTGACGTGCTTACCAGTTTTGTTCTGTCTCTTGGGCCAGAAAAGGCACTGGTTTAAGTATGTACTGCGCTTTAAAGCATTTGGAGACTAACCTGTGCGCCATTTCTTCCACGAAAAAGCCAAATATTTACGGTATCGAACGTGTGGTCGACCTAGAAGAGCGAACGCTGATGCACCAACAAATTGACAAAATAAATACGGTAAATTTTATTCATTATTTTTTACATGCGCATATACACACACAATATCTAGAGCATGCAGATCTAGAGCATGCGTCGTACACTATCTAGAGCATGCGTCGTACACACTATCTAGAGCATGCAGATAAACTGTTCCTAACTCATTTACAAAGTTTCTGCACTTTTCTTTGCACTCTTTCCAACATCTGTCTTCATAGACACCAAGGTATTTAACGTGTGTGCTGCTGCCACAAGAATGGTATTCAGAACAACGTCAAGGTCATAACCATTCCAAGAGAAAACAAAATCTTTCTTTCATAAAAATATCATCTGACCGACACAAGAGGGAGCGTTTTCTTTTTTGCTCTGGCCCCTCTCGCAGTGGAGCGTAGTCGGTCATATAACTTGGGGCCTGGAAAAACTTAGTACTGGGTCATTAAATCACGTAGCCCCCATGGGCGCTTCTATCGAACTGCCTGTTCGTGTATCGGTTTGATTGTGGGAGTGATTTTCAATTATTCTACCTTAAATTAGATCGTTCACATCTGAAAACCAACTAAGAAAGCGCTTTCTCGTAAATGTCTACACGCATCTAAATTTCAAGGAGATATATTAGACTAAAGGGCTGACCACAACATTACTGCAATAACATTATATGAAAACCGGCAAGAAAATACTATGCACAAAACCGAAGCACTGAGTAATGCAACAGCATTTCTTCGATTTTTATCACTCAAGTGAACAGAGGTAATACAAGTCAGCAGCGGTAATCACCAGTTGCAAAATGTTCACGACCCTGGAGGAAAAGCGCCTGTTTTAAAAACGTTCTCCTATGCGCGTTTATTAATTTAATGCCAGGGCTTACGCCAACAAGTCGGAAGCAAACATGACGCCTTTATTTTGCAGCAAGAACGGTACATGGTAGCGATGTGGTCATTGGAACAACTTAAAAATATGTAGTATGGGCACACGTACCTTGAAATCACGAAGAAAATGGATGTCAACGCCAGCTTGACGAACGACACGCTCTCATTTCATTCTTCGGTTGTCGTAAAGAAACAGAACTCGCAACATCGGTCCCTTTGCCGCCACGATTCGCCACGCAGCAACCCTCAACGGTTCAAATTTCCAGCCGTTAATATTGCGAATATCCAGTGTACAAAATGCATCATATATCCACGCTGCAGTTCACAGGCACAGAAAAAGATGGCCTTCTCGAGGCGCCAACAAGAACACTAGCCCGCCACGTAACCATTCGTCGGGCTTTGCATCCATGTCTGTCGAACGACGAGAGCAAGCGTAGGCACGTCTGTGCAGCGAAACACACTAGTCAAAACAGAGTGACGTCAGAGCCCTTGGCCGACACAGTGGGCAGGCCTGAAGTAAACTAGGTGGGATCGGACTTGCGCTCGGAGATTTCGTCTAAGTTTGATACAGCCTGTACATACAATTAAAAAATTTGACAAGTTCTGTGCGAAGTTTTTGTCTTTATGCATATGCTGGCACAGATAAATTAAGAAAAGGCTATAATATTGAGCAAAGCAGCTCGAACTTTTTCAAAGTGCACACGAGGTCTTTAAAATAACTATAGGGGTGTTATGTCCTGGTTTGTACGAATGCTTAAAAATTCACAATGTTGTCTCTTGAGCATCATTATCATTATGAGCTACATTAATTTATTCATTCAGTACGATACGTTTAGACATCTATACATGCGCTTATATGCAGCTTTAGCACAAAGATAGATTGTATAACTTTGCAGCGACAGCAAGAAGCTTTTATTGTACTCGCAGAGGAGCACATGAGCAGTTCGTTTCACCCCAAGCATGAATGAGGTTTTCACAGATAGCTTTGTTCATCTTCCCAAACTACAACGGTTTCATCACTATCATTATTATCAGCCTCACTATGCCCACTGCAGGAAAAATGCATCTCTAATGTTCCGCCAGTCAACTCAGTTCTGTGCTTGCTGCTGCTATTTATTAACCGCAAACTTCCGAATCTGATCTGGCCACCTAGCTTTCTGCCTTTCCCTCACCGTTTCCTTTCTCTGAGAAACTTGTCATATATCCTTCATGACAAGCGGTTATGCTGCCTACGCGAACCATTGTCATCACCTCGCAAATACTGTGCGCCTAAGCAGCACGATATTTATACCATCTTCATCAACCTATTACGCAATTTTCATGGCGAAATTGGGTTATTGTTTCTCCGATCAAGCCTGGTCATGGTCTTTCTGTGGCTACGCAATTCCCGCTAATTTATTAAACTCATCTGCTTACATAGATTTTCTGCTGCGCCTGACCCACATGCTTTTCTTCTATAACCAACTCCGTAACTTTTGGTGAATGACTGGTTACCTTTGTTTCTCTATATATAACTTGGCAATGATAATTTCTTTTTCTTGCTTGTGACCAAGGTGTTTTTAACACATAGATGTTGCATGACCTCCTCTGCTTTCCCGCAAGTCTCTTAGTCTTGCACCTCTTTTTTGTTTGGCTTGTTGCATTTTCCTCAATTGGTCAATCAGCCAACAAAGTGGCAGTCATGTGGGCAGGCGGGTGTGATGCTTGTTGCGTACTTTAGAACGCAACCTTCTTTTTATTTGGGCATCGTCCGTGGCGTCAATAATAATTCCAACGTCAAATTGGATTACACGAACCCGCACCACGGCGTGGCCACCTAAAGTACATCACCGAGTTATAATATCTACAATTGTACTTGTATTCACGTACCGATAGCTTAGACAACAAAATTTGCGAACACAAGAATGACGTGTTGATCATTAAAATGTCACGTCAGCGCTATTGATGTGCACTGTGCTAACTTTGACAATTTTAGCCAACTAAAACCACCAGAAAACATGTGAATAAACCTGGATAAAAGGCGCGTGAACGTCAGTGCGTTTAGAACATTCCTCCACAGTATTAACTGCACCCTCATGACCGTTGCTTACTGATTAGTCGCATCGGGTTCGCGACACGATGAAACACGACAGGTATAGTAAGAAGAGAAAAGGGAAGAAATTTTTTTGTGGTATAGTCAGAGGATGCCGAAAAAATGGCAGCATATCCACGGGGTGAATGATGAGTGGGGCGAAGCATTCGTCCGTCCATTCGTTCTTGCTTCCGTCCGTGCATGCGTTCGTCTGTGTGACCGTCCGTGCGTCCATCCGCCCGTCCGTGCGTGCGTCTGTTCTTGCGTCCATCTCTGTGTTTGTCCATGCATCCGCCCCTGCGTCCGTCCATGCGTTCATCCGTCCGTGAGGCCAACCGTGCGTCCGTCTGCGCATCTGTCTGTGTGTCTGTTCATCCGCCTATTCAACACTCCAAGTACCCCCATCTCGCATCTTTTGATCATATATTCCGCATATAGAAGCACCACCATCCAGCGGACAATAAAAGGACTAAACGAGAGGTGGCACGCGCACACTTTCTTACGGCTTGCGCTTCGTGCCTACTTCCCACGTTGAACCACCTTCAGTTCATGGTATAAGCTAGTTCACTGTATTCATGGCACTGTGGCCCAAAGCTCGCTAAACTTTTCTAAACAAAGAAGGTTACGCCCAGCGAGTATAACGTAGCAACCTTTTTTTGCCAGATAGTGCTCAATGTACATGCCAATGGCTGCTAATGGGGAATGAGACACAGCAGAATTCGGGTTTCAGTTAACGCGCACGCTGCGAGTTTTTCGTTGTTCAACAACGCACAGGAGAAATCTTCCACCAGCACCACCTTGCAGGTCAAAGTGTAAGAAATGTTACGTACTACGACAAGGGACGAAAGTTTGCCGCTTTAAGGAGCTTCGCCCCTAAAACAGAACAAGAACCGAACCGTCGGCGCGGCTCAAACTGTTGCTGCTACCAGCTTGACGCACTAGCCACACTTTCACGCACACACAATGACCTGTCCAACGTGTTTGCGCTATCAGTAATGGTGACTGCTTCTGAAACGTGCAGACCATTTGAGAATGTCTATGCGCAGTCAGCTCTCTAGGCGCAGTGCGTTAACACATGATATTTATTGCGCACTTAATTGGTGTGCGTGCCCTGCTGAGACGTTGAATGCATAAGGTCTGGGAGTCACACCAGAAGAGACAAATTCATTGGTGTGTTTTATGATATATTGTGTACAAGGAGCCGTAGTTTTAACTTTTGGTATATAATAATTCAACTTGATATTTATATCCATGCTTCCGAGAGAATTAACAGAGGCGGCACATGGTTAATAGCCAACTGAGAACAGACCTATTGTAAAAAAATACATTATACAAATGCTGCTCCGTCCTGGTAGCTGAATGTAGAAGTGTTTTTATAAGAACAATTTTTAAAATTTCTGCGTGGAAAGTGTTGTAAAACGTCTTTTTATCCATGCGAAAAAGACACGACTTCTAATTTGACTAAAAAAAAGAAGAGCCAGCACAAAAAAAATCAAGATACAAGATCGACAGTCTTGCGTAGTTGTGTCTTGGTTCTTTTTTTTTCTGTCGTACTACTCCTTTTAACGAGAATAAAATTCGTAGCAACAAAAACTAAACAACTGGTGTTACAGGGAATGAAATGTTGCCAAGTAATGTTGCGACCCAAAAATATTTTGATTGTGAAAATTTCTTGCAAAGGTAAAATGTAACAGAATAATGAGAGCATTTTCACGACCACTAAAAACAAGGAAGAATATGTGCTCTTAATAATAGTGATGTCAAGGCATATACGATTGTAACTCTCATTTTTCTTCCAGGCAACTTCTATGAACTCCGCGTAAAAAACACATCAATTCATACTCCGAATCCCACTTGCCTCAGTGAGTTTCAGAAGATTGCATATGGAGAGAAAACTCAACTATATAGTGATTATTGCCAGAATCTTTTCTAGCATTGGGACAAATCTCCAGCAAGAATAATAAATTCCCTACAATAGATCTTTATGAACTTGCACATAGCCATTTTTCTTCACAAAATGCTGAATGGAGAACGACAGTTCCATTACTTTTATGGTGCTCAAATAATTAATATGTTAACAAAGTATATCAAGCGTTTGAAACATGCAGAACGCAGGTCGCACATGACCTGCAGTCATTTTGCTAACTGTCTGTCGGTTTCTAAGGAATAAAATGTGTTCACTCACTCACCACTTTATTCGCGGCAGCTACAGATAAGGAACTGGGTCAAATAATTTTGTTTTTGGAGGCGTCCTATGTGTTGAAATACAATCACAGAAGAAAATCCGAAGAAAAAGTACGCACAACAGTATTTCACCGTTCATGAAAACAGAGCAGCAGAGCAAAATCAAAATTTGGCATGGGGCTTTCACATATGTGTTGTTATCGAGATCCGTGTCAATGTTCCTTGAATCACGATCCCGAATTTGCTTCATGTATGAAATACATGCGTTAAATATGATCCATGCGTTAAAAATAATTTCACTTAATGCCTCCTAGTTCAAATCTATATTTACCCGCTTTTAAATACTGTTAACGAGCGAGAGTGCCTGGCTATCGCCAAAATTCGTGCGTACCTATATGGACACACGTTCGCCGTCATAACAGACCACCATGTGCTCTGCTGGCTATAAACCCTTAAGGATCCTACGAGAAGACTTGGGCGATGGGCATTGCGATTGGAGCAGTACACGTTCTATGTAGTGTACAAGTATGGCAAGCTTCACAGCGATTCCGACTGTTTATCTCGACACCCTGTTGATTCACCCGACTCCTCTGAAATGGAAGCTGATGCCAATATCCTAGCCGTATCATCATCATCATCATCATCATCATCATCTTCACCATAATCATCATCAGCCTGACTATGTCCACTGCAGGACAAAGGCCTCTCCCGTGTTCCACCAGTTAACACGGTCCTGTGCTTGCTGCTGCCAATTTACACCCGCAAACTTCTTAATCACATCTGCCCACCTAACCTTCTGTCTCCCCCTAACCCACTTGCCTTCTCTGGGAATCCAGTTAGTTACCCTTAACGACCAGCGGTTATCCAGTCTACGCGCAACATGCCCGACCCATGTCCATTACTTCTTTATTTCAACTATGATATTCTTATCCGCCGTTTGTCCCCTAATCCACTCTGCTCTATTCTTGTATTTTAAGGTTTCACCTACCATTTTTTTCCACTGCTCGCTGCGTCGTCCTCAATTTAAGCTAAACCCTCTTTGTAAGTCTCCAGGTTTCTGATCCGTAGCTAAGTACCGGCAAGATACAGCTGTTATATACCTTTCTCTTGAGGGATAGTGGCAATCTACCTGTCATAATTTGAGAGTGCTTGCCAATTGTGCTCCACCCCATTCTCTTTCTTATAGTTACTTCAATCTCGTGGTTCGGCTCCGCGGTTACTACCTGCCCTACGTCGACATAGTCTTTTACAACTTGAAGTGCACTATTACCTATCTCGAAGCGCTGCTCTTTTCCGAGGTTGTTATACATTACTTTTGTTTTCTGCAGATTCATTCTAAGACCCACCTTTCTGCTCTCCTTATCTAACTCCGTAACCATGAGTTGAAATTCGCCCCCTGAGTTACTCAGCAATGCAATGTCATCGGCGAAGCGCTGGTTACTAAGGTACTCTCCATTAACTCTTATCCTTAACTGTTCCCATTCTTGGCTTCTGAAAGCTTCCTGTAAGCACGCGGTAGATAGCATTGGGGAGATTGTGTCCCCCTGCCTTACAGCCTTCTTGATTGGTATTGTGTTGCTTTCTTTACGAAGCACTATGGTAGCAGTTGATCTGCTGTAGATTTCTTCCAGGATGTTTATATATACTTCATCAATGCCCTTGTTCCGCAGTGTCTGCATGACGGCTGATATTTCTACTGAATCAAACGGCTTCTCGTAATCTATGAAGGCTATGTATAGTGGTTGGTTATATTCTGAGCAATTCTCTATTACCTGATTGATAGTATGAATGTGGTCTATTGTTGAGTAGCCTGTTCGAACTCCTGCTTGTTCCTTTGGTTGATTGAATTCTAATGTTTTTTTTTACTCTTTTAGCAATTACCTTTGTAAATAGATTGCATACTACAGAGAGCAAGCTAATTGGCCTGTAATTCTTCAAGTCCTTGTCATCTCCTTTTTTATGTATTAAGATGATGTTAGCGTTCTTCCAAGACTCTGGTGCTCTTCCCGTCAGGAGACACCTCGTAAACAGGGTGGCTAGTTTTTCTAACACAATCTGTCCTCCATCTTTCAGCAGGTCTGATGTTACCTGATCCTGGCCAGCAGCTTTGCCTATTTGCATGCTCTCGAAAGCTCTTCTGACTTCTTCTATCATTACTGGTGGGGTGTCATCTGGGTTACTGCTAGTTCTTATAGTATTAAAGTCGTGGTTGTCCCGGCTACTGTACAGATCTCTGTAAAACTCCTCCGCTATTTTAACTATCCTATTCATATTGGTAGTTGTTTTGCCTTCATTCTCCCTTAGTGCATACATCCGATTTTTGCCTATCCCAAGTTTCCTCTTCACGGCTTTAACGCTTCCTCCGTTTTTCAGAGCGAGTTCAAATTTCTTCATATTATACCTTCTTACATCGCATACATTATGCCTATTAATCAACTTCGAAAGCTTTGTCAGTTCTTTTTTGTTTGTTGTAGTTGAGAGTTTCATGATTTGACGCTTCTTAATGAGATTCTTTGTTTCCCGGGAAAGCTTTCCAGTGTCCTGTCTAACTACCCTTCCTCCAACTTCAACTGCACACTCCGTAAAGATACTCGTCAGATTATCATTCATTGTGTCTACGCTAAGGTTGGTTTCCTCACTAAGAGCCGAGTACCTGTTCTGCAGCGACACTAGGAATTCCTGTACTTTCCCTCTCAGTGCTAGCTCATTGATTGCCTTCTTACGTATCAGTTTCTGTCGTTTCTTTCTCAAGTCTAGGTGAATTCGAGACCGTACCATTTTTATGGTCACTGCATTGTACCTTGCCAACCACTTCCACATCCTGCACGATGCTGGGTGCGCACTCATTTTAAAGTCTATTTCACTCCTATTTTCGTCATTAGGGCTCCTCCATGTCCACTTGCGGTTTCGTCGTTTTCGGTAGAAGGTATTCAATATCCATAAATTATTGCGTTCTGCGAACTCTACTAGTAGCTCTCCGCTGGTGTTTCTAGTACCGATGCCAAAATCCCCTACTGCATGGTCTCCAGCCTGCTTCTTCCCTACCTTTGCATTCAAGTCTCCTATCAGTATTGTATACTGCGCTTTTACCTTACTCTTTGCCGATTCCATGTCTTCATAGAAGCTTTCAACTGAAGCGTTATCATGGCTGGATGTAGGCGCGTAAGCCTGTACAACCTTCATCTTGAATCTCTTATTCAGTTTAATTACGATAACTACCACCCTTTCATTAATGCTATAGTATTCCTCTATGTTGCCAGCTATGTTTCTGTGCCAGAACATATTTTCTGCAAATAGCCGAAGAACAGCGCCGAGATCCATCGCTGCTATTCATGATTGACCGTCTTCAATCCGGCCGTAAAGACCCTTCACTGAGCCCATTTTTTCTTCAAGACAACGTTTTGCACCACCGCAACTAACAGCCCGATGACGCTGAACTTTTTCTCGTCGTCCCACGTCATCTGCGCATAGACATCTTGCAAGAACTTCACAACGCCCCAACTGCCGGACATTTAGGTGTCTCCAGAATCTTCTACCGCGTCCACCGACGGGTATTCTGGAGGACCTTTATCACTCCGTTCGCCGCTATGTTGCAGCGTGTGACCTGTGCCAGCATCGGAAAAAGCCTACGTTTCTCCCTGCCGGTCACCTTCAAATTATTGAAGTCCCAGCAGAGCCGTTTCATCGTGTGGGTTTAGATTTGTTAGTTCCCTTCCCAACATCGGCAACGGGAAACATATGGATAGCAATAGCTGTAGATTATGCCACTCGATATGCAATTACTCGAACGCCACCGCCCAGCTGCGCAACGGAAGTCGCAGATTTCCCATTGTAGGGCATCATCCTTCAGGATGGCGCTCCTTCTCACCTACTCGCGGACCGTGGCCGATCATTCCTGTCTAGTGTGGTTGACGACCTCCTCAGTTCCTGCGCTACGCGGCACAGCTTTAGGACTTCTTACCATCCACTGACTAATGAACTTACTTAACGCCTCAACCACACACTGATGGACATGCTTGCTATGTATGTTTTAGACGACCACACCGATTGGGACACTGCCCTTCCGTTGGTAAACTTCGCCTACAACTTGTCGCGTCATGAAACTGCCGGCTACTCACAATTTTATCTTCTCTTTGGCCGTGATCCCTTACTACCTTTCGATACCCTGCTTCCGTATGACCTTCCGTTCATCACTTCGTACGCACAAGATGCTATCTCCCGTGCTCTGATTGCACGTACAGTAGCCCACACCAGGTTCTCATCGTCCCAGAGAGCACAAAAGTCGCTCTACGACCACCGACATAGGGATGTCAATTTTTCTCCGGGCTCTCTTGTGCTACTGTGGCTACCATCTTGTCGTGGCGGCCTGTGCGAGAAACTTTTATCGCAATACGTTGGGCCTTACCGAGTTCTGTGCCAAGTGACACCTGTCACCTATGGAATTTCTCCTACTACAAACCCCACTGTTACATTAAAAAGTGACAATGTGCATGTTTCTCGCCTGAAGACTTCTCACAGTGACCCGTCCGTCTTTTAACAGCCAGCACTGGGATGGTGCTTTGCCTCCCGGGGTAATGTCACGGGTATAGAAAGGTACCTCAACCACGAGAGCAGAAATGAAGAAGAAATGAAAACGGCGATGTTGTTGTGTGGCCGTGTCTGGACTGCCCTGTTGTCTTGAATCCTTGCACACTGTGTGCAGTGTTAACCCAACTGGCGTTAACTTAATAAATACTCCCCGTTACAATATGATCAGATCTCACATACATCACGAGCATATCCCTGAGGGTGCGGTTAAATCTCTCCGTGAATCCGTTAGTCTGCGCGTGGTATATCATGGTCTTGCGACGAACAACATGACATTCAGAAAGTAGAGCCGTGACGACTTCTTATAGGA